ACCTCTGTTACGATTTTAGTGGTTTAATATGTTTATTTAGTGGTAATATTTATATATTGCTCATTTTTAGTGCAAGTTCATTGGCTGAAACCTTACCTTAATTGAGACCTTGGTATCTTTGTGGGCCAGTTTGAGGGCATTGTGGAAGACTTTAAGGTCTTCCTCCAGTATCAGTGTGGCTGCAGGCAGCTTCTGTTGGTCAGGTTCAATGTGCTCTGCCAGCTTAGCTGGAGAATCAATGAACTGGAGCCGCTTGCTCCCTTTTAGGCCTGTCAGCAGCCGCTCATGATACTTTGTGTACTCTCTTACCCAAGTGTTGCAGTTGTAGACATAAACAGCTGCTACATTCTCATATGCAAAGCCAGGAAAGACGACAAACCACTTAGAGAGGAAGTCAGTCTTGAAACGATTGCTGGGTCCAACATGTGTTAAGTCTACCACTATCTCATAGGGCTTAGCATAGTAGGGTTTGAGGGTGAGAAGGACATGGTAGATGAGCAGGTCACCATTGATCTGGCCCGTTTTGAACCTAAAGAAAAGGGGAAAAAATCCATTATGGTTAAATACGAAATATTCTATAGTTTTATTTTTTGGTTCAGTTGTATAAATGTGAGGCTTAAATTGTTCATTGCATTCTATGTGATTGAACTCTGAAAAGCTTCATTTCTGAAAAAGATTGCTTCTTTTTGTCTGTCCTTTTTTTGTAAGAGCCCTGCAAGCCTCTGTGGTATCAAACCCAAGGCTCTGAAATAATCACACCCTCTGCAAAAAAACAAACAAACCAAAAGACAAAAAAAACCCAGCAGAAAGAGGGGTCAGGAAGTGACTTCAGACCATCTCAACAGTCAGTTTGCAGCAGGTGTCACGTGCCATTTCTTCCCCAAGACCTCCATAGGACTACTTCAGGTAAGAATTTGTCATGCAGCGTCTTTGAATCATGTTAAAAGTACAAAAGTCAAGCATTTCCTTTAAATTTTTTTTTATTTAACTAGAACTATTCAAACAACCTTCTGATCATGAGCTCTTGTTGTGGCATTCTGGAATAACGTTCTACATTTTTTTTTCAGCTTTACTTTTTCTAAAACAGTTTCTGAATTTCAGAGATGATGGAAGGTGCAAAAACTCTTTGGCTGTTTCTCCTGCTCAACCACCTGCCACTCTGCCCTGTCGGTGCTGACGAAGTCCTTTCAACAACTCAAATATATTCACAAGACTATTCACAAGACCAAAGAAGCAGCCCCACACTTGCTGTGAGTACTACCCTCACAACAAGTGAAGACAAAAACTCCATCAATGGCACTCGTGGTGACTGCTTGGTTGACACTGAGATGGGTCTGATTGCTATAAGTTCAGCTGGAGGTCTCATTGTGTGCTTGCTGGCTGCTACTGTGGTACTGGCATGCCAGGTCTGCAGCCTTCAGCGCCAGGTTTATGGCCCTCGCACCTCACGGTCCAACATGGACTTAGTAAGCAGTACAGGCTACTGGGGCACAGACCAACCAGAGATTACAGGCCTGGTTGGACCATATGATGCCAGTGTCATGCTTGAGGAGGTGAAAGAAGACAAGACGGAGGAAGAGAGGCAGGCTGAAACAAAAGGGACAATGGAGGACGATGGGGCAGGACTCAAGGAAGGGGCAATGGCAATAGCGTTTGATCCTGAGGACGATCAAAGTCATATGCACAGCTCCAACTTCAAGGACTCCTGTTTGGAGATTCCCAGGGATTTAGAAGACATGCCCCTTGTTGTGTAAGGAGGTAACCCTACTTCGGTAAATCCAGTCACATACACAACTAATCAGTTTAGCTGATTTAAAATATATTAACTTGGCTTGTTTCAATCATATCCTTTCCAACAGAGATGCACCAATTGTTAAATCATGGGCAAATATAAAATAAAATAAACGAATTATATTAATGGATATTTTTTTTAATTTTTATTTTGCTCTTTTTTTGGACAGAAATAAATAACTTGAAAGTCTTTCAAACACATTTATGAAACGGACACAAGGGAAGAAAAAGTATAATAGAGTGGTGACTGTTTTCTTATTTGCTGAAGGCAGTCAACAAAGTGAGAATGGAAATTTGGTTAATAAACTGATAATTTTGTTGTTGCATCACTATTTCTGTTTATTTTCATCTTGTTAAATGTAGGGCATCATATACAATTTACTACATTAGTGCTGACAGAATAAAGAGCTTTGGGTGCACACACCAAAAAGCATAGTTTTTGCTTAGATAAGGATATCTTTAACATGTTACATAGTTGTATGTCTCGTAGTAAATCTTTAAAGCCTGGTCCTGAGTGTTCAATTAAAACAGAAAGAAAGAACGAAAGAAAGAAATCATAACTTTTAAACACATAACATAGCACAGTCCATATTTGTTGTGCGCATGATTTGCATTAGTAACATAACATAGCATAATAACTTACATAATGAACAAAAAGCAGATCAACATACATTCACAGTTTTGAAGAGATAACGGGCTAAATTGATAATAGAAATGCTGGAAACTTAACTCTGAATCTGTTTCAGCTATGTAATCTTTTAAATGAATTTTCAACAATTTAATTATTGGTTATAACTTAAATACTTGTAATATTTGCCAGTTTTTAAATAAATTGACCTTTGTATTGGTGTCAGTGTTTCATGAGTCAAATCAATATTTGTCAATTATGAGCCCTACACACACAGAGAAAGTTGTGGTCAAAAGTTTCCATACACTCGTCATGGTAATTTTGAGCTTTAAATGGTTTCTTTCCATTGTTGTTTTTCCCTGGTCGACTGAGTGTCATCAATATACCTTCAAGGACTAAAAGAAAAACACACAAAAAAAACAACCAAGAATTGGATGTACTGTACAATTTATTTTGGATTTCATAATCATACATGACCAAAAATGTGCACACAAGTTCAAATATATATATATACACCCCCCACTAATATTTGGCTACATGTTCCTTAGTTGCACCTAGACCAGATGCTTTTGGTAGCCATTAACAAGTGACCATTTGGGTGTTTTTCAAGAGCTTGGCAAAGTGGTGACACATCCAAATAACTTTTGTAAAACAGTTTCAACAGATTTCAACTTCTTGAAATCTGCACATCTGTACAAAGGCTCCAAGAGATCTTACCAGCTTTGGAAAATCAATAGTTTCTTGGACTCAGAGTATTGGTCAATGAAATAAGTACTATCAAGCTATTTCTTCTATGCTGACAAATACAAACTATGTCTTGTTAAAA